GGAACTGGAACATCGCTGTATCCAGCTGTCTGGAGAGACAGACACCATTGGTGAGTGGGAGGCCAGGACACAGCAGGAGAAGGTGCTGTACAACAATCAGAGGGAACCCAGCATCTGAGCCCTGTTCTCCTGTTCTCCTGCAGGAGAGTACATCGCACTATACCAGAGCCAGAGGGCAGTGCTGAAGGAGCGGCACCGGGAGAAGGAGGAGTATATCAGCAGGCTGGCCCAGGACAAGGAGGAGATGAAGGTACGGTGTGGAACATCTCTGTGGGGTGGGCACAGGCACAGGCACGGGCACGGCAGCTGAACACCCCTCCCTCCAGGTGAAGCTGCTGGAGCTGCAGGAGCTGGTGTTACGGCTTGTGAACGACCGAAATGAGTGGCATAGCAGATTCCTGGCAGCTGCCCAACACCCTGCAGATGAGCCCAATCCAGGGGCCCCAGCCCCCCAGGAGCTTGGGTCTGCCAACCAGCAGGGTGGTGAGTAAGAGCCCTCGGGAGGTGTGGGCAGGCAGGAGCAAGGGAGGGCTCACATGGTGCTCAGAGCCCTGCCTCTCTCTCTCCAAAGATCTTTGTGAGGTGAGCCTCGCCGGCAGCGAGCCTGCCCAAGGAGAGACTGGGGAGGGTTCTCCTCGAGACAACCCCACTGCACAGCAGATAATGCAGCTGCTTCGTGAGATGCAGAACCCCCGGGAGCGCCCAGGCTTGGGCAGCAACCCCTGCATTCCTTTTTTTTACCGGGCTGATGAGAACGATGAGGTGAAGATCACCATCATTTAAAAGCTGGCCAGTATGAGCAAAGCCTGAAGAAGTGGGGCTAGAGGCCCTGCCCCCACCATGTCCCTACCATCCCTTCCCAGTCACCCCTTTACCCTTACAGTAGCAAGCATATGACCCCTGTCTAACGGGGGTAGACAGGTGCAGATGAGGTGAAGGTCACTGTCATCTAAAAGCAGGCCTCTAAATTTTAAAAAATTAAGTGATGGGACTAACAGTTATGGGATAAAAAAGTTATGGTATAAAAGTTACAAAAAATGGCCAGGCATGGTGGCTCACGCCTGTAATCCCAGCACTTTGGGAGGCCAAGGCGGTAGATCACCTGAGGTTAGGAGTTGAAGGCCAGCCTGGCCAACATGGTGAAACCCCGCCTTTACTAAAAATACAAAAATGAGTCTGTTGTGGTGGCGTGTGCCTGTAATCCCAGCTACTGGGGAGGCTGAGGCAGGAGAATCGCTTGAACCCAGGAGGTGGAGATCGTGCCACTGCACTCCAGCCTAGGTGACAGAGCCAGACTCCCATCTCAGAAAAAAAAAAAAAGTTACGGGATTAAAATGTCGGGATAAAATAAAAATAGGCCACTGTCAGCAAAGCCTGGAGAAATAGGGCTGGAGGCTCTGACCCCATCATGTCTGTGCCCTTTACTCTTACAGTAGCAAAATAAGACCCTTGTATAATGGGGGGAGAAAACATGCAGACCCTTTGCCACCTTGGCCCGGGCTGAATCCTTAAATTTCTGGATGATGAATATTGTTATTTAAAAGCCAGACGATTATAGAATTGGCTTGTTTGGAGGAGGCCTAATGGCCTCCTTATTCTCACCAAAGCAATTTTTCCCTCAGGGGGGTTCCCATCTTCTTACACTGAGAGGCAGCTGAGGCAGGACAGTGGGGCTAACCGTAGAACAGGTGAGGGCATGGGCTGCTGGGGTGGCCCGGCTTCCCCAGTGTATATATTGTATCTGTGTAACATTTTGTATATTCTGGGGGTAGTGCTGCCCCCTGTATCATACCTAGCAGATGTTGGAGCTGGCACATGGGGAGGAGGTTCTAATAATTATTTGGGGCTGGGAAACTTATTTATTGATAGCATAGGACAGAGAAGGAGGCGGGGATGGGGTCGTGGCGCCCTGGTGATGCGACTCCTGTTTATTTTGCTTTTTATTTCGGAATAAATGGATTTAGCCATACTGCTTGGCCTGCCATGTTCCTGTTTCCCTCACTGGGTCCTGGAGTTTGTGCCACTGAACAGGAAGCCCCAGAGTGTCTGAGCATGTGCAGCTGGGCTGTTGGGACCTTCCAGGCCTGTAACCTGTCTGAACTATGCTGCCTGGTGACACGTGGGGGATTCCATGGGGACTGCTATGACACCTACAAGGGATAGTCCAGCCCTTATGGCCAACAGGCTCAGATGCCTGATCTAGCGGTGGCCGAGAAGGCAGGGTGCCAGCACCCAAGGGCACTGACTTCCAACCAGCCCAGGTGTCTTCTGTTCCATCTCCCTGCCTCCCTTGTCTGACTGCACCTGGTGGCCTGTTGTGACTGTCCCTCCTGAATGCAGGCTGCCCTGCAGGCTCCCTCCAGGCTGAGTTCATGGCCCTGCCCCCTAGTGGCCAGAGCCAGCTTCACAGGATGAGAGCCAGCTAAGCTCCAGGGGCTTTCCAGGAGGAGTGTCTCTTGGAGAGGATGTGGTCTTTTCACTGCCCCCAACAGCACCCTAGACATGGCTTAGCCCTTCCCCTCCCCTGAGCTCCAGAGAGAACACAACCAGCAGAGGAGACATTCCCCATTATCCAGAAATGGGTTTTATTCTCAGCCGAGGGACAGCAGGACTGGTAGAGACTGTCAGGCCACACGGCTGCCTGCACAGCACCCCCATGCTTGGTGGGGGGTGGGAGGAATGGCGGGGGCTGGCTGTCCACAGGCCGGGCATGACAGGGAGGCTCACTGGAGGTGGCACACTTTGGAAGGGGGATGTCAGGGGACAGCGTTCTCTTGTAGTTGGGCCACAAGACTCCACAAAGACAGCACGGTGACTGATTCCCAGCGCTAGAGGTGAGGCGGTCGGCCATGTGTAGGTGTGTATATATATGAGTATTTATAGATATTTATAGAACAGGGCAGGGGCATACCACAGAGGGGGCACAAGTTTTCACCAACGGTCACGCCTGGATGTGTGTCAGCTGACCACTACAACATACTAAGTCACAGATGAAGGGAGCTGGCTTTGGGGCTGGGGGAGCCACTGTCAAGTCACAGAACAGCTGTCCAGGCAGGCTTGGAAAGGGAGGTATCCGAGAAGAGGAGGGATCTGTTTAGAGGTCGAAGGGGGGCCTGGGACTCTCAGGACGGGATGGACTTGCCTGACCCGATCGGCTGGCAGTTGGAGAGAAAGCAGAGAGAAAACGGGAGAGAAAAAAGCGAGGAGAGAGCTGGTAAGGCAAGTGCAGCGCATAGCTGGCCTGGCTGAGTTGCAGCAGTGGTGGGAGGGTAGGGGAGGGGAGGGTGCAAGATTCCTGGAAAAGAGGGACTGGAAGGGAAAGGGGAGGAAGATGGAGGGAGGAGGCGGAGCTTCACAGGTAGTGCCTGGGGGCTGCTGCAGCCCTCCCCACCCCACACACACTGGCCTTTCACACGGCACCCAGGCAGTGCACCCGCAGTTGAAGCTGATGCTCCGCCCCCTCGAGCTTCCCTCTTTTCTGGTCACCCTGTCTTCCAACCCACTGGCCTGGGGCTACCTCTTGCTTTGGGGATCCCCATACAAGAGCCACCAGGCCTGATACAGAAAGAACACTGCTTGAACCAGGAGGGTGAAGCTAAAAGGGATGGCTGGAGGGAGCACTGGAGGCCCCTCTGGGCGGTCAGAAAACCCAGGACCCTCTGAAGGGATTCTGGGAGAGGCAGGGAGGGCAGGCAGCTGGATGCCAGTAGCCATAGACTTATAAGTCTAAGAGGGGAGCCTCAGCTGGTCGGGGGGCTGCAGGTCGCGTAGGTGAGGCTGGGCCCTTCCTGCTGGGAAAAGCAGAAGAGTGAGAGTCAGTGGCAGGAGAAGTGGGGGTGGGCTTGCTGGGCGGAGCTCAGTCCGGCCAGCAGGCACAGTTGTCCCCTTGGCTGAATGGCACCCTAGGAGTATAACAGGCCAAGGTGTGTGAGTCCACTGGCTGGCTATGGTGCTTCAGCTGGGGCCAGGGACACTGCCTTCAGTCACACCCTAAGAGGGAGGGAAGGGGGCTGTGTGTCCCTGCCTGGCCTGTGAGATGTGTCGTGGAATGACCGTGTATATGGGACTTTAAAGCTTTTACCCTAGATCACCACTGGATTGTCTGCAGATAGAGGGTGGGACCCTAACTATCACCCCTGCTCTGCAGTGGATTTGGTTCTCGACACTCCCAGGCTGGGAGCTGGATGCCCTGTCCCAACAGCATAACTCAAACTGCACAATAGGCGCAGTGTGCCCAGGATGATGTTCCTAGGCCTCTGGCCACCTCAAGAGTCCAGCCCCACACACAACTGCCTCCAAGCTCCCAGCCCTTACACCATAAACCATGAGCTCTCTGCCCTCTCCAGAGAGCACCCATGTCTGCCAGCTTGAGTGAGGAGCCTGTTCCAAGGGCCCCTAGGCTCAGCCATTGGCAGTGGCACTGAGTCCCGAGGCTCGCTGGGAAGGGAGGTGAGAGAGCCAGTGGCGCGAGGACAGAAAGAGGAAAGAGCAAGTCTGTAGCTGCAGAAGGGAGGGGTGGGGAGCCTGGTTCTGAGGTCCCAGGTGCGTGCCCTGTGTGGAGCTGGTGCAGCGGGGCAGACACACCATTCATGCAGCAGGCGGTGAGGCATGTACCTACCATGGCTGACACTCCTCAGGGGTCACTGATAGTGATTCTGAAAGACAGCACGAAATCAACATGGCAGTTCACACGCACGGGTGGGGCAGGCCTGGGGGTGGTGGGACACACACACACACACACACACCCGGGCGTGCACACACATGCTGTGAGGCCCCATGGCCTGCATGCACACACTAACATACATGCCCACAAACAACACGCATACGCCTCCTTCCCCGCCACCTCCCGGTGCCCAGCACCCTCACTGGCCGGCGCGTGCAGCATGGATCTGGGGCATGCAGCCACCTGGCACACTGAAGCACACGCGTGGGCAGAGTCACAACACAGAAGCTCGCCTGCACACAGAGGCATTTGCACCAGCTCCCTGCACACTTGTGTCTGGTATGCTTAGAGGACCACTTGTACTGCTCATGGAGACAGGGCTTGCTTGCTAATGTCCAGCTGTCATTTCTCCACCTAAGAGCCTTCCGTGGCTCCCCACTGCCTACAGCATTGAGCCCCAACAAGTCGAACTCTTCAGACTTTGAAGGTTCTCCACCCTATGCCCCACCATCCCCACAGAGCTCTTCCTCATTCTGTCTCTGTTCTCTGCTTTGGCCAGTGGCTATCCTCGATGCAGCCCACACTACATATCTGCCCACGCTGCAGCTCTTTACCCAGATACTCTCCTGATTCCTTGCCACATAAGCCTATCTCAGTCATGCCTTGGACTGCACTGAAGTCACGTTGCCTTGAAGAAGCTCTCCCAGACTACTCTTTTCCCCAAGGCAGGTCCATGATTTGCCAAATGTTTTGCATGTGTTAGCAAGACTGGAGTCAGAGCAGGCATCAAACCTTACATCCCATATGGCACACCACACCACAGACCTGAGTACCAAATACCCTGAACAGTCTGAACTCACGTTGGCAGTTAGCAAAGTGCTCCTACGGTCGCATCTACAGTTAACACAGGATCCCTATAGCCACTGTCTCCCTTGATCCCCACAACCACCCAGGTAGAAAGGCAGAAGGTCATCTTTTGATAGAAGGGATGCTGAGGCTCTGGGAGGGAAAGGGACTTGCCTAAAGCCCCATGGTGAAGTAGCATCTCTGGACTCCCAGTCCAATGCTCTTACCCAATATCATGCTGCTTGCCTCTACCCATCTGCTTTGGTCATCAGAGCATCATAGGGCAAGCCCCAATCCCTACCTCATTTTCGTTTATGGGTGCTAGACCCACAGCCCTACCCTCCAGCCATGTGGAAACAAAAACAGATGCTATGGTTCTGGTGTGTTATTCCTTAGAGAACCTGGCCAGTGGAAACAGAGCAGACTGGGAATCCAAGTGAACTTCCCTAAAAGAGGGTCATGGGTCAAGAAGGTCAAGCCAAAGGATGTAGTAGAAAGCTTTTCCCTAGAAATCTCTGGGAATGAAGCAGGCTTCAGTCACTCCCATCCCTGCCCCTGCTGCCACCCCTGCACATTGGTTTAGACTGGGTAGTGTCAGAAGCTGTGGGGGGTGAGGGGGGGAGCCATCAGATTGCCCATGGCACTAGGCTCCTTCCCCACCTGCTCGTGTCCTAGCCCAGGCCTGGGTGCCATTCTTACACTCTCACACTCGTGTGCACGCCCACACACACATCACACACCTTGCTAGTCACACAGTCACAGCCTGGCCTCTGCTCCTGTGGGCCAGTGGCAGGACACCCCCTGGGATGGCTCAAAGGAGTCAGGACTGGGAAGTGGGGACATCAGGGTAGCTGAAGGAAATCCACACACCCAGAGCAGATCGGGGTTTAGACTCAGACCTGAGGTAGGCTCCCCAGGGGTTGGGAGAGGAATTGGACGGAATGGAGGATGGAGGACAGCGAGAAGAAAGGAGGAGGAATGCAAAGTGTGGGCGGCCGCCAAGAGTGAAAATAGAGGGAAGCGCCATGCAAGTGCTAGAAAGAAGGGGGCAGGTGGGACGAGCCCCACAGCCCGTCCCCAGAAACGACCACCTCCGGGACTCAGCGCTCCCTCGGGGGCAGGCTCCAGCCCTCGGCCACTCGTGGCGTGGCTCCGGCACCCAGAGTCTGATTGCCTGGGATGGAAACGCCGGTTCTGGCGGCCAGGTCCGATGCTCTGGAATCCAGCCCCATTTCCCTCCCGGTCACGCCCGTCCGCGGCCTCTGCCGCCGCATTCAGGCCCTACTCACCTGGGGACCCCGGGCGGGGCGCGGTTGGGGCGCGAGGGCACCTGAGGGGGAGGGCCGAAGGGATCAGGGGAAGCCCCCGGCCTGGAGGGCACGGGGGGCGCCCCCCCCAGGGCGGACCCAGCAGGCGGAGGCCCAGGAGCAGGGCCCCGCGACCCGGGCCGGGCTGGGGGCACGGCGGGGGCTCGGCGCTGCGGCGTGGGGCTGGACGTGGGCGACCTGAGGGCGACAGGGAGCAAGGAACAAGGAGAGGCCAGATGAGCGGCTCCGCCCACCCAGAGGCCCCGCCCCAGCCCAGTGCAGGCCACGCCCATGCACGCAAGCCCCTCCCTGCCGCGCCCCGAGGCGGTCGCCGGAGCTTAAGCCCCGCCCCCAGCGGCGCCACGTCCCAGCTCCCCCCGCCCCGCAGCCAGCGCTCCACGGCAAGCCCCGCCCTGCAGCAAGCCCCGCCCTCTCTAAGCTCCGCCCCTCGCTCCAGGTGGGAGCCACCCCGGTGACGCGGGCGCGCCACTGCCCGGTCCCGGCACTCCTCCCGCGGGCCCCGGGCTGGGGGGCTTTGGGGCCGTGGGGGCCGGCCCTGGTACCTGCGTCCGGCCGGTACGCTCTGCACCTGCAGCCAGGAGTCGTCCACGGGCGGGGGCATAGGCGTGCTGACGGTGGTCGTATTGATGTCGCCGATGATGCTGAGCGCCTCCTTCAGCGCGTGGTACATGCGCAGCATCTCATCGCGCCTCTGTGCCTGCTCCGCCGACTCCTCCATCAGCGTGTTCTGGTCCCCACATGAGTACAGGTTGGCCAGAAGCTCCGAGAAGATGAACTCCTTGGTCTGCGAGTGGGCAAAGAGGGAAGGAAGGTGGGACCTCCCCATCCCTTGTGCCGCCCTGGCCGCCTCACCGGGCCCTGCTGGGACTGTGCGCTGGACTTGAAGCCCAGAGTATGGCTTTTCAGACGCGGCTCCAACACTGCTTAGACTGGAAGTTCCGCCTTCCCACTGCGCTTTTCTCATTGAGATGGGGACACTGAGGTCCAGAGGAAAAGTCATCTGACCTAGGTCACAGATCTGGGAGGGGACTTAGGACCTATCATGCCACCAGAACACTTGTCTACTCAGTTTTGTTTTTTCCTTTGAGATAGGGTCTCCCTCTGTCTCCAGGCTGGAGTACAGTGTCAACATTACCACTTACTAGCTTCAACTTCCTGGGCTCAAAGTGATCTTCCAATGTCAGCCTCTCCAGTAGCTAGGACTACAAGCACGTGCTACTACCAAGTTTATGTAGAGACAAGGTCTCACTGTGTTGCCCAGAATAGTCTTGAACTCCTGGGCTCAAGTGATCCTTCAGCCTCAGCCTCCCAAAGTGCTGGGATTACAGGCATGAGCCACCATGCCCAGCACTTCATTACATTTCTTTTTCTTTCTTTCTTTCTTTTTTTTTTTTTTTGAGATGGAGTCTTGCTCTGTCACCCAGGCTGGCATACAGTGGCGCGATCTCGGCTCACTCCAACTTCCACCTCCCGGGTTCAAGTGATTCTCCTGCCTCCACCTCCCGAGTAGATGCAATTACAGACTTGCACTACCACTCCTGGCTAACTTTTATATTTTTAGTGGAGACACGGTTTCACCATGTTGGCCAGGCTGGTCTCAAACTTCTGACCTCAAGTGATCCACCTGTCTTGGCCTCCCAAAGTGCTGGGATTACAGGCGTGAACCACCACACTGAGCCCCTCATTATATTTCTATTGGATAGCTCTGGTCTGGACCGTGCCTCCCTCCATGGACCTGGTCCCATGGGGCTGGTTGGCATCTACCCCGGGCCAACATGGCCACCTGCGTTCCCAGTGCCACTGGACCTCCCTCCTGCCATGCGGCGGTGCACGCACATTGTTAATCATGAGGTGCATAATGGTCTTGGGCATAAGGTCCCGCACAGTCTTGTTGACAATGGCCATGTATGAGTCCACAAGATTCCGGATGGTCTCCACTTGCCGTTCTAGCTGAGGGTCCATGGAGTGCATGAAGCTGTCAGAGCCATTCTCCTCAGTCTCGCTGGCCTGCCGTGGAGAACACAAGGGCATCAGCGTGGCCAGGCCATGCAGCCAGGCTCCAGGCATCCCCAGGATCTCAACCCCTCCAAGGGCATCTGGAACACTGAGGCACAGAGAGAAGTGGCTGGCCTGAACACACACCCAGCTCCCCATCCCTAGTGCCTCTCAGGACCCTAGACTCCCCTGATTCAGCCTTGTCTTGGTTTTGACTCTAGTGCCTAGAATTTGCCTCAATTTCCCAATCCAGAAATTATTATTATTATCGTTATTATTTTGAGATGGAGTCTTGCTCTGTTGCCCAGGCTGGAGTGCACTGGCGCTGTCTTGGCTCACTGCAACCCTCTGCCTCCTGAGTTCAAGCAATTCTCCTGCCTCAGCCTCCTGAGTAGCTGGAATTACAGGCATGCACCATCATGCCTGGCTAATTTTTGTATTTTAAGTAGAGACGGGGTTTCATCATGTTGGCCAGGCTGGTCTCAAACTCTTGACCTCATGATCTGCCCACCTAGGCCTCCCAGAGTGTACAGGCGTGAGCCACTGCACCCAGCCCCAATCCAGAAATCAGAAAAGAACATCTCCAGGTCCCTGGCTTGAAAATCTGGCCAGAGCTAGTGCCAGGCTGCAGATGCCTGGCAGGAGGCAAGAGAAGGGCATACTCACTTTCTCCTTGTCCTGGGAGGTCCACATACCAACATTGCCACCGCCGCCGCCACCAGGGAGCACAGCCAAAGTAGACATGCACAGATAGGAAAAGGGGAGAGATTGGGTAAACCTGGGACACTGCACCCCAACTCTCAGGCTCTCTAGACATTGCCACAATGAAATAGAGGAGAAAAGAGAAGGCAGTCACAAGAAACCACCATCATAGAAAAGGGATGCAGGAAACTCCATCTGCGGCAGACACGGAGACACAAAACTGTGACTGAGGAAGGCTGGGAGAACCAGGAGACAACTCCGGTCTCACCCCCACAGTGGGTAGGGGGAGAATTCCTCTTATTTCTGAGTGGAAACATGTCATGACTTGGCATCACTGCCCCAGGGCCTCCTAGGGTCAGCTGCTTGCCCCGTCACTCACCCCAACACGCTCCGGGTACACGCCAGCCCGCAGGAAGGAGGCCTTCCAGCTGTCTACCTCCTCCTGTGTCTCACAGGCCAGCTCCAGCTGCCGATAATCCTTGTAGACGTTCCTGTAAGAAAGGGCAGGCAGTGAGAGCAGATGGGCAAAGCCCCACCCTCCCTGGGGGTTAAGGGTATAGCCGGACTTCAGGGGCAACATGCCTGAGGCCAGCTCATTTCCTAGCTGTGTGACCCTGGGCGAGTCCCTTCCTCTCAGCCTCAGTTTCCTCATTGGGAAGATGGGTTAATAATAATTCCTGCCTTCTCAGGTCACTGTGAGGATTCAGTGAAGTAAGTAGTAAAATGCTTAGAAGGGGACTGAACCTTTGACAAGTGGACAACCATAGTGAAGTCCCTAGCTTGGGGCTCGGACCCCACCAGCTTCCTCCGTGGCTCTCTGAGGACCCCTCTGATGGCTGCTGGACTGAATCCTCATCTCTGAGTAGGAGAGGGTCCACTAGAGTCAGCCTTGGGTCAGGGAGCAAGAGGCTTGGTACTGCCACCGACCTATAGGAAAGTGAGCAGGAGAGGAGGACCAGGCCTGACTAGGGCTCTTTGGCTCCAGGGTCTGGAAGAGTGTCTCATGCAGAGCAGGCACTATACCAGTGACTATATGAAAGGAAGGGAGGAAGGAAGGAGGAAAGGAGGAAGGGAGGGAGGGAGGAAGGGAGGGAGGAAGGAGGGAGGGAGGAAGGAGGGAGGGAGGAAGGGGGGAGGGAGGAAGGAAGGGAGGGAGGGAGGGAAGAGGAGAATGGAAGAAAGGGAGGAAGGGAGAGAAGGAGGGAGGAAAGGAGAGAGGATGGAAGGAGGGAAGGAAGGGAGGAAGGAAGAAAAGAAGGAAGGGAAAGAGGGAGAAAAGGAGGGGAGGGGATGGGAGAAGATCATGATACGATGTCTAGCACAAAGCAGGAACTCAATAAACATCTGTCAAATGAATGACTTGCTGTGGGGCCTGGGGCCAGTTTCTGTCCTCCCTGGATCCTTGTACCCAGCTTCTACTCAGTAAGGGTGGTTTTGGGGCTGTGGCAGCCACAGCCAGGGGCAGGCAGGCACCTCTGCTCCGTGTTAAAGAGGGCAAAGATGTGCTTGCTCGACATGAAGCCTTTTTCCACGTCCCGCAACTTGAGGTTGTCCACAGACAGCATGTATTTCTTCTCTTTCTCCTGTGGGTGGAGAAATGGGTAAGGTTGGCACTGTTCTCTGCCACACCTCACTCCCCAAGAGTCCCCCTGACTGGCCTGGGGCTTCTGAGCATTGGCCCCTCCCACTGTGAAGGTGTGGCTGGATAAAAGCCTGGCCATGGGACCGTAGGCCTGCTGGGCACCGCTGGCCCAGGGGGCTGGCAAGGGGTGGCGAGGCTGAGAGTGGCTCCCACAATCCCTCCCCAGGCAAGTCTTGGGTACAAGCCAGGCCGGCTCCAGGCAGGGACCACACTCAGGCTTCTCTCGCCCCCGGCCTGGCCGCCTCTGACTTCATTTCCTGACTGCAGACCAGCAAGGGGGGCCACCAGCCCTGGCGGCTTCAAAGGGCCGGCTCAGCCCACTCCCCCGAGCGCCCCATGTGTTAGCAATCAGGCAGCCAGCACAAGACTGGAGATGGTGTGCCTGTGTGTGCAACATGTGCGTAGCTGTGTGTTTGTGCCAACACTTGCAGACCCAAGTACATATCCTATGATCTATTGTGAGTGTGTGCACATGTATATCTGGGGGGTGCTCAGCATGAACCACTTAGTGCATATCAATGTGGATTATGCACACTCTGTGGATGTGTGTGGCAATTATGCAGCCTACATGTTTATACAACCATGCTGGTGGGATTTACACTGGGGTACACATCTTACCTGCACACCGTGGTGCAATGGGCTGTGTGTTTGATTTATCTAGAGCTGTCTGGGAAGAGTTACATATATCTGTGCACAGGCGCGTGGGGTGCTAGGCCCATGTGTGTGCTCAGTGTGGGCACATGTGTATGCAGGCTGCTGTGTCCCAGGGGAGGGGTTAATGGATCTGGGGAGGAGGGACCCCAGGATGGGGCTCTGGGAGATGGGAGGGATTTTTGTCACCCATGCCTTACTTGCTCACGGGGGTCATCTGTGTGGGCCTCGGGGTCTCAGAGTGCTTGGGCCAGAGCCTTGCCTAGGATCTCAGGTGGGGGGCTGGGTTTAGGGGGACCTTGCTCCCCCATCCTGCCCACCCCTCTCTGCCCCCCATACCCGCCCGGCCCGTGCAGCCACATAAAGCCCTCTTTATGCCAGGCGGGTGGCCGGGAGCCCCAGAGGGCGGCTGGGGGAGGAGAGGAGGAAGTTGCACGCAGGGCCAGGGAACATCTGGAACCGTTCGAGGGAGGCCCCACCACCACCCGCCCTGCGCTTCGGGGTTGGACACTAGGTAGGAGCGGCCTCCTCCCCCCACCCCTCCCTTCCTGCCGGCCTGCCCCCTCCTCAGGCCCCTCCTTCCAAGCCCCAGCTCCGGCTCACCCCTGCCACGTCAAAGGAGGCAGAAGGGGAGTTGGGAGCAGAGCGGGGACCACGGGCTGGCTGGTCTGGGGCTGGGGGGGACACAGACTGGGGTTGTGGGGTTCTTGGATCTCCAGGGGATGGGGCTGAAGCGCCTACTGGATGGACAGACACTGCTGCCTGGATGGACCAGAGGACACCTCCACTCCGTCTACCCAGTGTTTAGACTATCTGTTCAGGACTCCCAAATTGTACAGTAGTCTGCACATTGGTTAGGCTGGGCTGGGTTAGACCCTCGGCGCCGCCGCCATTGGAGAGCTGGACCGACCCCTGCCCGCCATCCCAGAACCGGAGCCTGGAGCCAGGGGGTTGGGGGCACAGGGCGGGCTGGGAGGAGGCACAGAGTGATGGGGGTGCCACCCTGCTGTGGGACTGGTGTGGGGTGGTGGTGATGGGGGAAGGGTGGCTGAGGAAGACTGAAAGGATTGGGGGTCAATGGGGACTGGGGATGTGGGCAGCCGCTGGTCTGCCCGAAGAGCTTCCCTCACCCTAAAACCTGACGGCTGGGTGGAGGAGAACAGACCACTCTCCCACCAGCCTGGACCACCTCCATAACCCCAGTGGTCCTAGTGCAAAGATCCACTCACATTCAACACACACGCACCTCGACACTCACCGCCCCAGAACTCAGACACACACATGAGCAAACCTACACTTTCGATCTCACATCCATGTCCCAAACACACACACAAGTTCATGCACACACATCCACACACACCCTCACGACTGGAACGCTCCCCCATCCTCACATCCCAAAGACATACACAGATTTTCAAACACCCCACATGCACACCCTCCCTCCTTGAGCCCCCTCCCCCTGCACACCTGCATTTCCACCCGGAGCACAGCGACATGTGCCCAGAGTCACTCCACAGGCACACAGATTTGCCCCTGACACAATTGCAGACCACCTATTCCAAACACACCTAGATGCTATACCCCAATCACACTCCTAAAAAACCACTCACACACCAGACCCAAAAGCCAGACACACACACACACACACACACACACACACACACACACACCTCACAGCACCCACTGCCCACAGCCTGCTCCCACCTCCCCACATAGGATTTTCAGAGCCGTTTTCACACAACACTGAACTCAGATGTACACAAAAGCTCAAGGAAGACCTACAGGCTGAGGCACGAGGACAGGGGACCCCCTCAGTTGCACTCGTCCCTCCCTGGCAGTGTCACCGGTCTCAGGCCCCCGGCCCCTGGTCACACGGTCTCCCTGGCCCTGTGTAAGGAACCTCAACATGGGAGACCAAACCCATGGGGGCATCTAGGGACCCTGCAGAGTGACCGGCAGGAAGCCACCCCCACCCGCACCCCCCACTACCACACACTCCATCCCTTCCAGGGGCCCCCATGCTGTGGGAGGCCAGGGTTGGGGTAATGAGGTCCAGATGGCTTGGCGCCCCCAACAGTGACGACAGAGGGCCCCTCCCAAGGTGGAGAGTTGGGGACCCTGCCCAGGACAAACATGGAGGAGAGAGGGACCTAGGAGGGGGCTCGGAGGCCAAAATCACAGGCCCTACCCAGAGCCCTGCTCCCCCAGTGGGGACGCCATAGCCTCCAACAGCCCCCTCAGGAAGAAGAGGGTCCCTTCCCCCACTCCTTGGCCAGCTGGAGCTCATTACCACAAGCCCACCCCCAGCCCTCCCCATTCCCTCTGGTCACCTCTGGAATCCAGATGTGAAAGCCAAATAGACTCATTCTTAAAGGAGACCAGCAGCAGGGGAAGGAGGTGGCAGGGGCTTCTGTGTGCCCTAGCGGGCGGGGAGGGGTTCTGTGTGGTGGCTCAGCAGGGCACCCACACTCCTTGGCCCTCAGCCTGGAGGCACCTGGGCATTTCCCTTGGGCTGCAGGGGTCTAGGGGCCTGGGGTGCAGGGGTTAACGTGGTGTCTGGCAGCTGGAGTCGTATGTGTCATGGGCCTGTGGGGGCCACAGAGGAGGCGGCACGCCCTGCAGCGGGAAAACAGGAAGGCTGCTGGCCGCAGGGTCAGGAAGGGGCACCCAGGGCCCCTGCCCACCCTCCCCAGGGCGCTTAGCCCAGACTCCTCAGTCCTGCCATCTACCTTCTCCTTTCAACCTAGGGGAGAGGGCGCCTCCCCAGGGAACCCTCAGGGTCACCCTTGAATCCCAACTCCACCCATGGATCTTTTTTTGAGACGGAGTCTTCCTCTGTTGTCCAGGCTGGAGTGCAATGGCTGGATCTCGGCTCACTGCAATCTCTGTCTCCCAGGTTCAAGCCATTCTCCTGTCTCAGCCTCCCTGGTAGCTAGGATCATAGGCGCCCGCAAATTACACATCAGGCTAATTTTTGTATTTTTAGTAGAGATGGGGTTTCACCATATTGGCCAGGCCGATCTTGAACTCCTGATCTCAGGTAACCCACCCGCCTCGGCCTTCCAAAGTGCTGGGATTACAGGCATGAGCCACTGCGCCCAGCCTGCCTGAGGATCTTTGACGAGACATTTTAAAACCCTGTTCCATGATCCAGCCCACTCCAAGCCTGTGGGAGGGTCTGAGCCTGACCCTGGCCGCCAGCCCAGCCCCATCATGACCACTGGCCCTTGACTCACCTCATCATCCTTGTACCAGGACAGATTCTCAGCGGTCAGCACAAACCAGTACTCCTTGGAGCCCCCTTTCATGATGCCAATATTGTTGATAGTCAGCCAGCCCTTGCGGATGACCTGGAGGGTGATGGGGCAGGAGGTAAGTGGCAGGGCCTGAGCCTCCTTGTGGGGGATGTGGTAGGCAAAGAGAGGCATTTGAAAGCCCGCCCATCCCCCAGTGCTCGGAGGCCTGGCCAGTCAGGGAGGCTGGAGGCCAGACCTGCCTTGGTTTGAATCACTAGTGAAAAGAGTGGAAGACAGAGGAAGGCAGAGATTAGCTCAAGATAAAGAGCCTCTGACAGGCAGACCTGGCCAAGTAAGGGACTGGAGGCCTGGGTAAGGGATGAGCTCCCCGTCACTAAGAGTATGCAAGCAGAGTTTATGGGGCTGATTGGGCAAGCATCTGTTCTGATCTGTGTTTCTGACTTTACACATACTGCTGCTGCCTCTGCCTAGAAAGCACTTCGCCTTCCTTACTCAGCCTTTGGGTATCAGCTCAGAAGTTACATTCTCAGGCAAGCCCTTCCTGGCCCCCAGTATAGATCAGGATTCCCATAATAATCTTTGATCACTCCCTGAAGTTGACTTCTGTGACAATGACTTCGATTTTTTTTTTTTTTTTTTTTGAGATGGAGTTTCGCTCTTGTTACCCAGGCTGGAGTGCAATGGCGCACTCTCGGCTCACCGCAACCTCTGCCTCCTGGGTTTAGGCAATTCTTCTGCCTCAGCCTCCCGAGTAGCTGGGATTACAGGCACGCGCCACCATGCCCAGCTAATTTTTTATATTTTTAGTAGAGAAGGGGTTTCGCCATGTTGACCAGGATGGTCTCAATCTCTTGACCTCGTGATCCACCTGCCTTGGCCTCCCAAAGTGCTGGGATTACAGGCTTGAGCCACTGTGCCCAGCCCTCTTTTTTTTTTTGAGTCTTGTTTTGTCACCAGGCTGGAGTACAGTGGCACGATCTCGGCTCATTGCAACCTCTGACTCCCTAGTTCAAGCAATTCTCCTGCCTTAGGCTCCTGAGTAGCTGGGATTACAGGCATGTGCCACCATGTCCAGCTACTTTTTGTATTTTTAGTAGAGACAGGGTTTCACCATGTTGGCCAGAATGGTCTCGATCTCCTGACCTCATGATCCACCCTCCTCGACCTCCCAAAGTGCTGGGATTACAGGTGTGAGCCCCTGCACCCAGCCACGACTTTGATTTTTAACTAATTTCTCTGCATGGGAGTGTGTGATTATCTGTGGATGCAGCCTCCCCTGCTAAGTTGTGAACCCTCTTGGTCACTAGTACATCCCAGCACCCTGCAGAGGGCTTGGCAGACAGTAAGTATGAATAAATGAATGCTATGCTAGTAGGATTCTAAGAGTCTTTGGCTTCAGGCCCCCAGGGGCAGGGACTGATCCATGAAGTGCCCAGAGTAACAAGCTAAGGTCCCTTTTCATGGCAGGAAGCACCTGTCCCCAGGATGTCCAGAGCCATGGCCATAGTCCAGGGCCTGTGGTTCTACTTCAAGGGCAGGGTCACTGGCCAGGCACTGGTCATGGGTCAGACCGAGAGGATAAGGGAGCTGCTTCTGCTCCCTCCTGGACCCTGATCTCCCCAGCTTCTTCTCTGAGTATCCAGAGAAGACCCAAGGAGGCCTGGGGCTGGCGGCAAAGCTCTCTGGAGCCAGGTTTGCTTCTGGAGCCCTCCTTATGCTTCTCTGGCTTCCTTGAGAACCTTGCTGGGAACCCAAGCTGCATAGCTCAGCAGCAGCTAAGCTGAGGGGAGACCACAGCTGCCTCGCTCACCCCTTCCTGATCAGGCGAGGATCTCCACAGCGTCTTGTCACTGTCTTTGGAATTGAGTCCACTCTGTGTCCCAGGATGTGACCAGCAGATCTCACCACCTGTTCCCCACCCTGACTTGTAGCCTTTGTCCTCCCCTTGGCCGCACCCAGCCCTGAACTCCTCCCTGCTTATCCTAAGCCCCCTCTGGAGCCTTGCACCAGGGACCTCCTGCTCCCCCAACTCCCACCCTGCATGGAGCTCTCAGGGGCCTTGGCTGGGCCCTACCAGCAGGCCCAGGTCTCCACGTTCTGTCCAGGGGCCAGCACTGTGTAGGTACCAGCTAGTGTTGGCTGAACTGAATTGTCCTGATCCTGCATTCATTCCTCCCTTCATTCTGTTGAATACCTACTGTGTGCCAGGCTCTGGGCTTGAGCTGGGGATTTAAAGATAAACAGGACAGACTCAGCCGTCCCCTTATGGGGCCTGGGAAGGAAATAGACATTAAGCCAATAATCACATAAATACCTAGAGTCTTACAAAGAAACTACAGCCTCTGGAACCTATGGACAGAAAAGCTGAGGACCCTTGGGCTCATGTGTACAACTGGGGTTGAGCAAGTGCTGCTGCTGAGGGAGGGTTCTGCAGACACCTAAGCTCAGACGGCAGGAGGCCAGGTGAGCAGCAACTTGTCTCTTCACTTCTCCTTCATCTCTTCATTCAAGTCCGGAGGCGATGGCTGTCAGCTTCTTAAAAACGTGTCTCGCTCATGCGCATTTATCCATCCAAGAGATGTTTAAGGAGCACCTTAAACATGCCAGGCCCAGCCTTCTCACCCACCCAGCCCCACACGGTCTAGCTCTGCCTGAAGTAGGTGCTTGGCTTGTGCAGAGGGATGGACAGGTGGACACGGCTGTGTGTGTCGCTGGGCCTGCTTCTGGCCTGAGGGCAGGTATGAAACGCCAGGGGCTGGTGTGTACAAGCAGCTTCAGCCAAAGGGTACCCTCCTACCCACTGCAGATCCCCATGGCCGACAGCCCCTCCTCCCGCTTGCTACATAAGCTGAGAGCCCCAGTCCTGGTACTCACCAGAATCTCATCCTGCAAACAGGCGACCATAGCAACCACGAGAGGCATTGGGGAGAGAGGAGAGAGGGTTACTGAGGCAGAGTGGGAGGCTTGTGGCTGGCAGCTGGCAGCTCCCTGGCCCCTGTGGGACCCTTCCCCTCAGAGGAGGGGGCTCTCAGAGTCTGGCATCCCTCTGGCACCCTCCATCCCTTGGGCTGGGGTGCTGGGGACCACTCACCTGGTTCCCTGAAGTCTTCTTCTTGTTCATCTGGTTGCTCCTCTGCTGAGCACTAATGGGAGGGAGGGGAGGAGTCTCAGAACTTCTCCTCTCAAGAGGCCCAGCTCTACTGCCCACTGCTCAGTGAGCACAGGACCCAGAGGGTTAACCTAGCAGACCTGGGCTCTATACATACATACACATACCCATATACATATACATACACTTACATACATGCATACATACATACACACACACAACACACACACACACACACACACAAACACACGTCACCTTCTTTGCCCAGGGAGTACTCACTTTTTGCCCAGGGGGAGCACTCACTTGGCAAAGCCTATGAAGTCCTCATGGTTGGTGTTCATATAAGCCAGCTCAATATCAATGAGAAGCATGACCTTCAAGGATACACAGGTTGGTGGGCAAGCGGAAAAGACACCACAAAGTTTTAAAACGCAGGGCAAGCTGGGAGAAAAATACTTGCAGCACACATAGAAGGTTAGCATCCATAGTAAATACAGCTCCTACACCAGTGAAAGACAAAAGCTGGGTGCGGTGGCTCACACCTGTAATCCCAGCACTTTGGGAGGTGGAAGCGGGAGGATTGCTTGAGCCTAAGAGTTCAAGACTAGTCTGGGCAACATAGGGAGACCTGTCTCTACCAAAAAACATGAAAGTTAGCCAGGTGTGGTGGCGTGTGGTGGCGTAGTCCCAGCTACTCGGGAGGCTGAGGTGGGAGGCCTGATTGAACCCGGGAAGTTGAGCCTTCAGTGAGCTAAGATTGCACCATTGCACTCCAGCCTCAAAGACAGAGCAAAACCCTGAAAGAAAAGAAAGGAAAGAAAAAGAAAAGAGAACGGAAGAGAAGAGAAGAAGAAAGAAAGAAGAAAAAAATAACAAATCAAAATATGTTATTTTGTCAAAGAATATGATGAACAATTCATAGAAGAAATGCATACAACCAATATGGATATGTAAAAAGTGTTTACCTCATTAATAAAGAAATGTAGGTTAAAATAATGTGGATTTTAAAATGATCAGTGTGGCACAAGTGTTGGGAGGTGAGCTCTCTTTTATATTGTTGGTGGAAGTGTAAATCAGTATCACCTTCTCAGAGGGCAGTCTGGCAATATTTAACAACATTAAAATGCACAGGGCCAGATGTGGTGGTGCACGCCTGTAATCCTAGCACTTTGGGAGGCTGAGGCAGGAGGATCACTTGAGCCTCGGAATTCAAGATCAACCTAGGCAACATGGAGAAACCCTGTCTACAAAAAATAGAAAAATTACCCAGGTGTAGTGGCGTATGTCTGTGGATCCAGCTACTCAGGAAGCTGAGCGGGGAGGATCGCTTGAGCCCAGGAAGGCAGAGGTTGCAGTGAGCCATAATGGCACCACCATACTCCAGCCTGGACGTCAGAGCATCCTATCTCAAACAAACAAACAAATAATGCACAGATTCACTTCCAGAATTATATCTTACAGATAAATTCATCAAGTGAGCAAAGATACATGAGCCAGAGTACTCAAAGTAGTACAGTTTGTAATAGAGAAACACTGGGAGCAAGCCAGTGGCCATCAGAGGGTAATATATTGTGATACTCTCTAGACAAAAAAGCACCCTGCAGCTGTTCAAAAGAACAAGGTCTGGCGGGGCCGGGTGGCTAATGTGTATAATCCCAGCACTTTGGAAGGCTGAGGCAGGCAGATGGCTTGAGGTCACGAGTTCGAGACCATCCTGACCAAAAAATGGTGAAACCCTGTCTCTACAAAAATACAAAAATTAGCCAGGCATGGTGGTGTGCGCCTGTGGTCACAGCTACTCGGGAGGCTGAGGCAGGAGAATGGCTTGAACCTGGGAGGCGGAGGTTGCGGTGAGTCATGATCAAGCCACTGTACTCCAGCCTGGGCAACTGAGCGAGACTCCTTCTCAAAAAAAAAAAAAAAAAAAAAAAAAGAGCAAGAACAATGTGTAACGTGTGGGTTCCTGCCTGGGAAGAGCCTTGCAAATGATTAAGCATGAACAGATTTGGAATTGAGTAGTGATGAGAATGACTTTCCAGATGGGATAAAGACTGCCAGGTTCGGACCCAAGCCCCACGGCTTCCTGTGAGCTTGGGGCCTGTCCTCACTGAGCCTCAAAGTCCACATACGTAGCATTTCTGTCTCTTAGAACTGGTGAAGACACAGATGAGATACTCAACAGATGTTAGCTATCCGGATTATCTTCCGGGGAAAAAGGCAAGGCACACAGCACGCTTGTGATTTAGGATAAAGATGGAATTTGGATCGTGTGTGTGTGTGTGTGTGCGCGCGTGCATATGACTGAAAGGTGACACACTAAACTGTTTTGCTTTTTGGGGTATTACTGACGCACAGTCTTACTGTGTTACCCATGCTGGAATGCAGTGGCATGATCACAGCTCACTGCAGCCTCCACTTCCTGGGCTCAAGCGATCCTCCCACCTCGGCCTCCCGTGTAGCTAGGACTTTGGGTGCATGCCGCCTCGCCTAGCTAGTTTTTAAAATTTTGTGTAGAGATCACATGTCAGTCTTGCCATGTTGCCCTGGTTGGTCTCAAGCTACTGGGCTCATGTAATCCTCCCACCTAGGCCTCTCAAAGTGCTGGGATTACAGGTATGAGCCACTGTGTGGAGCCCCAAACTGTTACTAATGGTTATTTTTTGGGAGGAACTGAGGGTGGGGAAGAGTGAATGGAGGAAGGCTATCTCCTTGTAATTTAACCACTTCTATACCGATTGAATGTTTTATTTATTATTTTTATAATTAAAAAGCAATCAATAAGACTTTAAAAATACGACATCAACAACGAAAACATGAATGAATGCAGATGGCATCATCATGGAGAGAAGTTTGAAAACAGGAAATGGGACATGGAGCCAGAGGGGGCTACAACAGATAGGCAGGGGTGTGGCAGACATGGACCAGGAATGAGGACTAGCCTCTGAGCTCCATAAGGCCCACGATGGGCTCTGCTCACCTCTGCTCTGTGCAGCTCAGAGGCAGCATTCAGTGGCTATGTTTATGATGGAAGGAAGGAATGAACGAATGAATAGTTGATGAACGATGACATAAAGGTCAGGGTGGCTATGAGGAGTAGAATGTGACCCAGAGAAACAGCAAATAGACAAAGAGAGACCCAAAGAGAGGACCAGAAGGTAGACTGTCAGAAAGTGAAGAAAGTCAGACCAGGCCAGGCGGGGTGGCTCACGCCTGTAATCCCAGCACTGCCGGCTGAGGCAGATCACTTAAGTCCAGAAGTTTGAGACCATCCTGGGCACCATAGTGAGACCCCTGTGTCTGCAAAAAATTTTAAAATTAGCCAGGCATAGTGGCAAGCATCTGTAGCCCCAGCTCCTTGGAAGGCTAAGGTCGGAGGATCGCTTGAGCCTGGGAGGTTGAGGTTACAGTGAACCATGATCATGCCACTGCACTCCAGCCTAGCAGGGGTGACAGAGTGGGACTCTTGTCTCCAAAAAAAATAAGCATAGAACTACCCTATACCCCAGCGCTTCTACTTCTAGGTATACACCCCAAAGGGTTGAAAGTGGGGACTCAGATATTTGTACACTCATCTTCATAGCAGCATGATTCACAATGGCCAAAAGGTAGAAACAACCCACATGAATAAACAAAGGGTGGTCCATCCATACAATGGAAAATTATTCCACCCTTAAAAGAAAGGAGCTTTTGACACATGCTACAATACGAATGACCCTGGAAGACATTATGCTAAGTGACAGATGCTGTATGACTCCACTTACATGAGGTCCCTAGAAAAGTCAAATTCATAGAGGCAGGCCGGGTGCAGTGGCTCACGCCTGTAATCCCAGCACTTTGGAAGCCAGAGAAGGGAGGATCACTCTGAGGTCAGGAGTTCGATACCAGCCGGGCCAACATGGTGAAACCTCATCTCTACTGAAAATACAAAAATTACCCGGGCGTGGTGGTGCATGCCTGTATCCCAGCTACTCCGGAGGCTGAGACAAAGAATCACTTGAACCCAGGAGGCGGAGGATGCAGTAAGCTGAGATCATGCCACTGCACTCCAGCCTGGGCGATAGAGCGAGACTCTGTCTCAAAAAAAAGAAAAAGAAAAGAGTTCTGTGACTGGATGTTGGTAAGGGCTGTGCGACAGTGCGAATGTATTTAGTGTCGCTGAACTGTGCACTTAAACATGGCTAAAGTGGTACAGTTTATGTTATGTATATTTCACTACAGTAAAAAAGAGGAGAAGCAGAGAGTCATTATGAAAGAGAGAGGAAGACTGAGACAGAAGAGGCAGAAGGAAGGAAGGACTCCAGGGCCGGGAGTGGAAGGCGAGAGCAGGCCGGGTGCTTCGGGGCTCACCTGCTCCTTGGTGCGGCCCTCACGCTCCCGGATGTGGGTGGTCACGATGCGCTCCATCTCCTCCCGCAGCCGTGGGTACTGCTGGAGCTGGGGAAGGGCAGGAGGGCAGAAAGCCACGTACACAGAGGGCATGGGCAGGGAGCACCCACACCCCATGAGTCCAGGGATCCGCGGCGCAGGGTGGGAGGCACACACAGAACGCCCACGACGTGGGGAAGAGAGACCGGGGATCCCAGGACACTGATGGCACCAAGTCACAACCACCTCTTTCCCTCAAGTGTGGGTTCCAATTGGCGATTCAAGGGTCTTCCTGGTTCCAGGCCCTCTTCACTGGCCTACCTGGGCTGCTTCAGGGCACAGGGGCAGTTCCCATGGGAGAGAGGCCATGGGAACCAGCCTGCCCCGCAGACTGGTTAGGTCGGGGCCTCTGGGGACCGTGAGCTCCCAAGGTGTTCCCTCATCCTCAGGGCTACCCCGTGCCTTCCTAAAGGCATGGAGGGACAGGTAGATGGGGAATCGGGCAGAGGACAGCCTCCGGATTCCTATCCAGGAGGAATCGGGGGAGGACAGGGCCCAAGGTGCCAGCTGGCCTCCTGAGTCAGGCTGGGGACAGGCAATGCTCCTTGTCAGAGCCAGGGAGGAGGTTCAGGGGAAAATCAGCAGTCACACCAGAGGACATGCGGGAACCACAGGCAAAAGCATGCGAGGCCTGGGGAACATGCGAGGCAGGAGCTAGCAGCATGAGCAGTACCCCGCGGGGCCTGGCTGGGCCCTGGCCCTCTTGGTGGAATCCACCCAGCTCTGTCTCCCTTGCATGCCCCTGCCTGGCACCACCATCCCCAGCCACATCTGTGCGGCTCTGGCCAGCCACACTGTCTCGACCCCACTCCCTAGGGGTAGGAGCCCAGCAGTACCCATTTCCCCCCTGGTTCTTATTAAGGGAGGCTGGAGGGGATGTTGCTCCAAGCCCATCCCCCTCTGCCTGTGAATAATGCCCTCAGCTCATTCGGGCTCTGGACACAGCCCAGGTGATTCACTGGACTATGAGGTTCTGTTGCACTTCCACTCCTCCAGAGAGCCTGCCCCAACTGCCCGAGAGCTGAATTAGGGGCCTCTCTAGTCCCACTCCACCTCCTCCAAACAACTGGATTGCAACTGCCCCCAAGGCAGGACTGGGGCAGGGCCAGGCCCATGGACAGTGCTGGAAGAGGGCATGTTGGAGAATGAGGGAATGAATGATGGATGGATGCCAGGGTGAGTGGCACAGGGTCCTCTGCCCTCTGAACCATGATCAGCTCTTCCAGGGGAGGAGACTCTATGTGCCTCTGATGGTGGGAGCCTACCCCCAGGGGCTCCGGTCCTGCAGGCCCACCTTCCCCACTCAGTGGCCACCTGGGGCCCAGGCAGAGTGAGGGGACAAAGCTGGGAGTGCTCCTCATCCCCCTTCCTGTGGCTGGGTCAGGCCCTTCAGGTGGGTCCCCCAGTGGAGGAAGAGGCCTAGGGATTGGCATGCCTGAGTCACAGGTGGTGATCCTGAGGGCAGGATGGAGGCCAAGGAGGTTTGAGGAGGGGGCATCGGGAGAGGCAGGAGGATGGGGAGAAAGCGGTGTCCTAGATGTCGACCCAGAATGCCGACACGAGGGATGCCCACATCCTACCCATCATCCTGTGGCTGTGCCAAGGGTGTGGCTAATGTGGCCAAGCTCAGGAGACTTGGGGGAGAAGCAGCCTGAGACCAGGGGCTTAAAAACAGTGGCCAGAGGGGCCCTGTGGACCCCACTGCTCCTGAGGCTCAAGGAAGGGTTCCCACTCTTTGCAGTCTCCAAGTCTGGGCAGAGATTTGGGACTGGGTCACTGCCACCAGGCCTCTTCTGAGGTAGTCCCAAGTGCTCCCTCTCAGGGCAGAGTTTGGAGGATTGGGGAGAAGGAGGGAGGAGGAAGGAGCAGTTTGCCAAAGAGCATGACCAATTCTCCCACTAACCGCCTGGATGTCACATTTCTCAAGTTTTCCACGTGTCACCCATGGCAGGGCAGCCTCCGCCCCTTTGAGAAGTTCTGTTCCCTTTGAGCATCTTTTTCCATTCTGGCTGCCTCTGAGCATTTCCAGGACATTTTTCCAGCTTTTCGAAAGGAACGTTCCCCTCTCAGTCCTTGGCTGAGGGGGCAGTCAACCTGGAGCCCAATGGGTTAGCGGTCAGGGACACAGGCCCTGGAGCCATTTGGCCCTGGGTTCAAAGCCAGCCACTGTCTGCTGACTCTCCTTGTGACCAGACTGCTCTGAGCCTCAGTTTTTCCATGTGGAAAATGGGGTAGTAATGGCCCCTTCCCTCCTAGGATTGTTAAGAGGACTGAGCAACACACCCCATGCCTAACATTAAACTCTAGATTTCACTCAGAGATGGCAACTCTAATCCCAGCAGCACTAGGAGTAATGAGTTCACTTATTAACACTTATTAAACCTCTGGCAGAAGTGGCTTGCCAAACTTAGAAAACTTGAGGGGAGGAAAAATATATATACAAAGATGGGTGACTCTTGCCTATAAAGAAAATAATTATGATCCACCAAACAAATCAAAAGGCAAAAGTATCATTTTCCTCCTTTTAGGCCAAAGCTTTCCTTTTCAAATATTTGTTGATCATTTTTTTTTCTGCTCCCAAAAATCACAGACAGCAGGGCGCAGTGGCTCACGCCTGTAATTATAGCACTTTGGGAGGCCAAGGAGGGTGGATCACTTGAGGTCAGGAGATCTAGACCAGCCTGGCTAACATGGTGAAATCCCATCTCTACTAAAAATACAAAAATTAGCCAGGCATAATGGCACATGCCTTTAATCCCCACTACTCAGGAGGCTGAGGCATGAGAATTGCTTGAACCCAGGAGGCAGAGGTTGCAGTGAGCTGAGATTGTGCCACTGCATTCCAGCCTAGGTGACAGAACAAGACACTGTTTCAAAAAGAAAAAGAAAAAAAAATCACACAGACTCACTGTAAAATATTAGAGCATGACTAAAATTTGTGAAGTGGGCCGGGCACAGCGGTTCACACGTGTAATCCCAGGACTTTGGGAGGCCAAGGTGGGTGGTTCACCTGAGGTCAGGAGTTTGAGACCAGCCTGGCCAACATGGTGAGACTCCGTCTCTACCAAAAATACAAAAAATTAGCTGGGTGTGGTGGTGGGCACCTGTAATCCCAGCTACTTGGGAGGCCGAGGCAGGAGAACTGCTTGAACCCGGGTGGCAGAGGTTGCAGTGAGCTGAGATCGCGCCATTGCACTCTAGCCTAGGCAACAAGAGCAAAAAATTCTGTCTCAAAGTAATAATAATAATGATAACAGTAATAATAAGTAGGGCCGGGCATGGTGGGTCACACCTGTAGAGCCATCACTTTGGGAGGCTGAGGTGGGCAGATCATGGTCAAGAGATCAAGACCATCCTGGCCAATATGGTAAAACCCCATCTGTACTAAAAATACAAAAAAATTTGTTGGGCATAATGGCCCCCACCTGTAGTCCCAGCTACTCAGGAGGCTGAGGCAGGAGAATCGCTTGAACCTGGGAGGCAGAGGTTGCAGTGAGCCGATATCGCACCACTGCACTCCAGCCTATGCAAGAGAGTGAGATTCCATCTCAAAAATGAAATAAATAAATAAATAAATAAATAAAATTTGTGAAGTGAAAGATTCCTATGGCGAATACGCCTTTGGGATTTTATCCTTCACATACATTATTTTTTCTCCAAAATACCATACATTCTTTTCTGAAGCCCGCTTTGTTTTTCTTCCCCTACAGTACACCATGGAGGGACAAGTAAATCCCGTCTTTTTTTGAGCTGGAGTCTCGCTCTGTCACCCAGGCTGGTGCGAGCTCAGCTCACTACAACCTCTGCCTTCTGGGTTCAAGTGATTCGCCTGCCTCAGCCTCCTGAGTAGCTGGGATTACAGGCATGCACCACCACGCCTGGCTAATTTTTGTACTTGTAGTAGAGACTGGGTTTTACCATGTTAGCCAGGCTGGTCTCAAACTCCTGACCTCAGGTGATCCACCTACCTCGGCCTCCCAAAGTGCTGGGATTACAGGCAGGAGCCACCACACCTGGCCAACCTTGTTTTTTCGTTTTAAGACAGACTTTTGTTCTGTCTTCCGGGCTGGAGTGCAGTGGTGTGATCACAGTCACAGCTCACTGCAGCCTCGACCTCCCAGGCTCAAGCAATCCTCCCACCTCAGCCACCTGAGTAGCTGGGACTTCAGGTGTGTGCCACCACGCCCAGCTAAGTTTTTGTAGTGACAGGGTCTTACAATGTTGCCCAGACTGATCTCTAACTTCTTTTTTATTTTAGAGACAAGAATAAAATAACCCAGAAGTGCAGTGGTGCAACTGAACTCCTGGGTTCAAGCCATCCTCCTGCCTCAGTCTCCCAAGTAGCAAGGACTGTAGGTGCGCACTGCCACGCTTGGCCAATTTGAAAAAAAAAATTTGTAGAGATAGGTTTTGCTGTGTTGCCCAGGCTGGTCTCAAACTTCTGGCCTCAAGCAATCCTCCTGCTTCAGCTTCACAAAGGGCTGGGATTACAGGTGTGAGCTGTGGCACCCAGCCTATATAAACATTCTTAATGGGTGCATAATATTCTATTGAACAGATTATAGTTTACTTAACCATTTTCCTATTGGTGAACATTCAGTAGTTTCTAGTTTTTCAATATTCGAAATAACCTGACAATGAATATCTCCGTGGATAGAGTTTTGCTTTTCTTTCTCTAGGATTGTTTCCTTAGGATAGATTCCTAGAAGGTTGATTACTAGACATAAACATTTAAAAACCATGAAACGCTTTGACTGTCATTCCAAAAGGGAAGCAGTAATTATGGTAAAATTTGGAAACAACCCAAAAGTCCATCAAGAAGGGACTGATGCCAGGCAGTGGCTCATGCCTATAACCCCAGCACTTTGGGAGGCTGAAGCAGGACTGCTTGAGGCCTGGAGTTCAAGAGCAGCCTGGGCAACGTGGTAAGATCCTGTCTTAACAAAAAAATTATTAGGCTGGGAGTGTTGGCTCTTGCCTGTAATCCCAGTTCTTTGTGAGGCCAAGGCACGCGGATCAGAAGGTCCAGAGTTCAAGAGCAGTCTGGCCAACGTGGCAAAACCCCATCTCTACTAAAAATACAAAAATTAGCCGGGTGTGGTGGTGCATGCTTGTAATCCCAGCCACTTGGGAGGCTGAGGCAGGAGAATCGCTTGAACCCAAGAGGTGGAGGTTGCAGTGAGTCAAGATGGTGCCACTGCACTCCAGTGTGGGCTAGAGAGCAAGATTCCATTAAAAAAAAAAAAAAAAAAAGGACTGGAGATGATTGATGCTTACTTGAAACTCGATACTAAGGCGGATGTGCCTCCACCCACCAGCATAGTGAAGTCCTGCAGACACAGGTAAGGCTGGGCTACCCCCAGCACCTCTGATTCAGCCTGCGGCAGAAGCTCCTGCAGGCAATTCTCTTGCACTCCTCTGGAAGGAACTGTTTTAGACAACCTGGCTAAAAATCCTCAAAATGCCCAAAAGCAGACAAATAGGAAAAAGGCATCTAAAAGTTACAGACAACTCAAAAGAGGCCGCCCCTGTCTATCGCGCATGGATTATTGTAAAATGAGTCATCCAATATGCTTTCAGGCAAATTGGTTTTGAGGAACTAGGACAGCTCCCCCTGCCCAGAAGACCCCTTCCTCTGACCTTCCTAAATCTGTATCACAATCTGCTTCTACTTTCTGAGACTCTGTTCTGCCATCTGCAAAACGGGAATAACAACACGACCACTTCTTAGGGTGGTTGAGAGGACTGAGTCAGATAGTAAGGGCCAGCACTTAGCCCGTGCTTGGCACATAGTAGGTGCTCAGTAAACAGCTGCCATCTCCTTAACATCATCTTCATCACTGGCATTCTCACTGATGCAAAGGTGCCACCAAGGATGCTTGGGTTGGAGTAGTCTTCTGGCAGGGATGGGGGCAAGTACTCAGGGTTAGAAACTGGCGGGAAACACTAGGGCTGGGTCCCTGTGGGTAGCCGTGGGGCCTGCTCAGCGGATCTTTCTGCCCACAGGAGGCCATGACCACAAGGAATGGACGGCCAGGTCCAGCCCCGCCCAGGTGGCTGTCATACCTTTTCGCTACACTTTCTGATGGTGGCTGTGAGCTCACTGACTACCATATCCACACATTTGATACTGGGCTCTTTGAGCTTCTGCACCTGCTTTTTCACTGTGGCTTCAAAAGCGAGGTCAGGTGTGAAGAGGCCCGTCCTGCACCCGGGGAGGAGGTGGGGACAGGAGGAGAGCAGCCGCGGGTGGGGAGAAGAAGTGGGTGAAAGCCAAGCAGGGACAGGAATCCAGGGGTGGAGAGGATGGCACGGGCATGGGGAAGAGAGAGAGACACCGACACAGATAAAGAGAGAGAGAGAACAGAAGACAATGTGAGCGTGGGACCGGCCCTCCCTCACCACCCGGGTCGGCACCTCTCAGGTGCTGCCAAGCATCCCCTGGGATCCGTGGGTATGGCCAGGGGTAAAAGGGACCAAGCCCCTGCTCCGTACGAGACCCCTACCGAGTTCAGATCCTTGCTCCGGAGATGTTCCCCTGATCCTCAGCCTCACTGAGGCTGCCTGCTTTCTCCCAGTGCCATGTTCATCCACAGCCTTGGGTTCTCCTAAGGAGCTGACCCAGGCCAGGACAAGACCAGGACCTCACCCACCCATCCTGCTCAATTCTAGGCTTCCCAGTGCCCCGGAATTTGCTTCATCCTGACTCCAAAGCTCAGCACCATTCCCTATCTCTAGGGTTACCACATCCAGCTACCCAGGCCATGCACTGCACAACCCCAGGGGGCTCCACTCCCATAAACCATGGTGCAGAGGCTGCCTCCTGGGGTTGCAGCACAGCACCCTGACCTCCATTCTCCAGCTCCCTGCTCTAGTCCTGCCCCTCCCTTTCTCTTCAAGGGGCATTCCTTGCCTCTCCTCCACAGGGGTTTGGTGGAACCAAAAGACAGAAAGAGAGGAGGAAAGACAGAAAGAGTGGAGGTGGAGATAGAGAGGGGCTGGGGCAGCAGTGGGGAGAGGAAAGGAAGGGAGGCTAGAAGGTGGAATCCAGGAGCACTGGACTTGGAGTCCAGAGCCGTGGCTTCAAGTACTAGCTTTGCCACCTCCTGGTGACTGTGACCTTGGGCAAACTTGATCTCCTAGAGCTTCAGTGTTCATGCTGTGAAATGGGCACTGTCCTCCCTGCCCTGCCTCCCTGCATGGTTTTGTGAGACCCGGATGATGGGGCAGATGGGAGAAGGGCTCTGTCCCTGGACGACCAGATGTGGATGGAAGGGAGGGAGAGGCCCTGCGTGAGGGTCCTGAGTGAGGGTGAGGTGAGGATGGGGAGCACGAAGGACAGTGGGGAGCCAGGGTTCCTGCTAGTCCCAGGTCCTCAGCACCCCTTTGGCCACACAGACCGACCAAGCAGTGCCCAAGAAGGCCCTGCACTTCATCTGTCTCCATGGCCATGGTTTCTCCAGACACCTACCTGGAGCTCCCAAAGATGACACCTCTGAGGGCAGGGAGGGGGCTCAGGGTCCCCTCAAGCCCTATCCTCTGAGCTGGGGGAGCTCCTGGTGGGCTCTTGGGGTAAATAGCCAGCCATCATCCCCATCTCACCCACATCTAATCCCTGGGTCCCCGGGCCTGGGAGCCAGGGATGGGATGGGTGAGGCCCCCTCAGAGGCACATTCTCTCCTGGTCATTGGTGGCCTGCCTCCCCACCCCGCTGAGGTCTGTACATGCTACCGAGGAGGCAGGTGGGGATGTGGGGAAGGAGCGCCTGGCAGCGGTGCAGGGCAGGGCAGAGGCGGTGGGGGCTGGCCCGGCCGCTGGGTTACCTTCTTGGTGCACTGTCTAACGGTGCTGATTAGCTCCGAGATAACCATGTCCACACACTTGAGACACGGTTCTCGGATCTTCTTCACCTGCTTTTTCACAATGGTCTCAAAGGCCATGTCTGGGGTAAACAGCCCCGTTCTGAACGCCCGGAGCGGGAGAAGGGCACAGTGTCACAGGCCAGTGCCGGCCAGGAGGGCCAGGCCAAGGCCCCTCCCCAAACCCATGAACTCTGCCCGAGGGGCCCTTGACTACTCTCTGGACCTCAGTGTCCCCAGCTGTAAAATGGGTGGGAGGGGTTCTAATGAAGGGCTTTTAATCGAGGCTCTTTGGGGCAAGACAAGGTGGTGGAGAGGATTGCGTATCTGATATAGAAGTCCTGCTTCCTCGTAAGGGTTTGTGCATACGGAAGGTTCTATGGCCAGAAATGGCTTGAAAATCGCCAAACTGGGGTCTCCATAAGAGCCTTTCCAGGAATAAAGTGTTTTGTTTTGTTTTTGAGACCGAGTTTGTTCTTGTTGCCCAGGCTGGAGTGCAATGGTGCAATCTCAGCTGGCTGTAACCTCTGCCGCCTGGGTTCAAGATTCTCCTGCCTCAGCCTCCCAAGTAGCTGGGATTACAGGCGTGCACCACCACACCCGGCTAATTTTGTATTTTTAGTAGAGATGGGGTTTATCCATGTTGGTCAGGCTAATCTCCAACTCTGGACCTCAGGTGATCTCCCTGCCTCAGCCTCCCAGGGTGCTGGGATTATAGGTGTGAGCCAACACACCTGGCCAAGTGTTTTGTTTTAAGACTAGGGGAGCAATCTCTTTTCTGTGAATTGGCCAGTGCAGTTATCAGGAAATAAATTTCAAGCCAACCCTTGGAAACGAGTCTGCATGAGGGCAGGGGCGCTGGGTCTTGTTCACTGCCTGGCACATGGTAGGTGCTTTAAATTTTCCTGCCCAGTGGATTTGCCAGATGAACACCGTGTAGGTCTGGGTCCCCGAAGGGGATCTAAGCTTTTAAGGAGCGGAGTCCACCTCCCAATCCTGTTTCCTGCTCCACAGGTTGCCCAGAAGGAGGGCGGTCAGGTGGAATGGGGCTGACTCTGGGCTAATGTGAATACAGGAGGGTCTGGAGGGTTTCAAAGTCCTAGGTCATCATAAAATGACAGAGCCTCATACCTTGATGCTCCACCGCAGGGCCTACCTCATGGTTTGGGCATCTTTGCCTGGTCACCTGGGTGGCACTGAGGGAGCTATCTCACCCTGGGGATGGGCCCAGCCGCAGAGGGTATTTCCCTGGCCACCTGCACCCTGGGCTGTGCCTGATTGGCCCAGCAAGTGGTGGTAGGTGGGGTGACCCCAGTCCACCTCCCCAAGCGGCAACCCGTCACGCAGGGAGCCAGAAAGTGGGGGTGGAGAGGACTGGGGACATGAGCTCTCAGTGTTTCCTGAGGGAGGCCCACTTCATCACTTCCTCTGCCTCTGTCCCAGCCCCCCTGCTTCTGGGGTTCAGCCCCCCTCCCAGGCCCCAATACATGCCTAATGCCATGGATATTCTTGATGGCATAGCTGATCTCCTTTCGGAGTTCCTTCTCATCGAACTCCATCTGTGTAGAAAAGCAGAGAAAAGGCTGGTCAGGGCCTGTTCTGCTACCTGAGAGGTAAAGCCAGGGCCCTGGGGATGGGCCCAGCCACAGAGGGTATTTCCCTGGCCACCTGCACCCTGGGCTGTGCCCGATTGGCCCAGAAAGTGGCAGTAGGTGGGGTGACCCCAGTCCACCTCCCCAAGCGGCAGCCCATCACGCAGGGAGCCAGGGTATCAAGGGCTGGGTATCAAGGCCTCTGGAGTAGGGGTCAGCAAAAGCACACAAAGAGAGAGTCCTGAGTGAGGGTGGGGGGAGTCCTGAGCCATGTCCTCAGGGCTGCCTGACCTACCTTGACCAGCTCAAAGGGGAATCGCTCGTGGAAGATTCGGTTAATGCGGGCTCCCCCTGACAGTTCATAGGTGTCAATCTGATCTCCTGAGCCCTCAATGCGCTTCTCAAAGTCTACGGCGAATTGCTGGACCATCCTGGGGGGAAAGTGGTGTGGCCTCAGGGGGTGGGAGCAGCTCAGCGAAGGGAACCCCGGGAGAGCCCCGTGCTGAGAGGCTGGGGCAGGGATTCAGTGATGGGAGCAGGAGCTGGGGGAGCCTCACTGCAACAGGGCCTTGGTCTTGCGTGCTGGGTCATCAGGGCGGAAGTTCTTGTACTCCTCCACCTCCTTCTCAATGGACAGCAGCTGGCTCTGCAGCTTGTTCCGCAGCCCCGGCAGTGTGTCCCGGATGTGGTTCGTCAGTTGCTGGGGGTGGGGGTGAGGAAAGGGTTAAGGACAGATGGTCACAGGGCCAGGCAGGAACTTAGATGCTGGGGAACTGTGGGAACGTGGTGGTAGCAGCCCTGCCACTGCTACCCAGGCCACTGGCAGGAAAGTCGGTTCATAGAAGGAGCTTGCAGAGGTGTGTTAGTTGAATTAATGAGTGCATAATTTTCAATAAAACCAGAAATCTGGATTTTATTTGAAATTTCCTGATTTTCAACCAATTTATTTTCTGTTTATTTTTTCTTTTTTTTGAGACGGAGTTTCACTCTTGTCACCCAGGATGCAGTGCGATGGTGTGATCTTGGCTAATTGCAACTACAACCTTGGCCTCCTGGGTTCAAGTGATTCTCCTGCCTCGGCCTCCTGAGTAGCTGGGACTACAGGCATGCACCACCATACCCAACTAATTTTTTGCATTTTTAGTAGAGACAAGGTTTTGCCATGTTGGCCAGGCTGGTCTCAAACTTTTGGCCTCAAGTGATCCACCCACCTCGGCCTCCCAAAGTGGTGGGATTACAGGCATGAGCCACCAGACCCAGCCCAATTTAATATTTTTAGACGTGTATCTAGGGCAGGGGTAGCCAGAGGACTGCCCCCTGCACCCTCTGTTTAAAGCCTCCTTTAAGCTCACTCTCAAGCTCTGGCACTCATTCTCACTAGGTCTCCCACACCGTATCTCCCTGAGCCATCAAGATTCTGTGAAACAAGTCTGATCACCCATTGTTTCCATTTTACACACACAGAAATAGAGGCTCAGAGGCTGGGCATGGTGCCTCACACCTGTAATCCCAGCACTTTGGGAGGCCAAGGTGGGCAGATCACCTGAAGTCAGGGGTTCGAGATCAGCCTGGCCAACATGGTGAAACCCCGTCTCTACTAAGAAAACAAAAATTAGCTGGGCATGGTGGTGTGTGCCTGTAATCCCAGCTACTTGGGAGGCTGAGGCAGAAGATTCACTTGAACCCAGGAGGCGGAAGTTGCACTGAGCCGAGATGGTGCCATTGCACTCCAGCCTGGGTGACAAGAGTGAAAAAAAAAAGAGCCAGGCATGGTGGCTCATGCCTGTAATCCCAGCACTTTGGGAGGCTGAGGCAAGTGGATCACGAGGTCAGGAGTTTGAGACCAGCCTGGCCAACATAGTGAAACCCCATCTCTACTAAAAATACAAAAAAATTAGCCAGGCATGGTGGTGCATGCCTGTAGTCCCAGCTACTTGGGAGGTTGGGGCAGGAGGATCACTTGAACTCAGGAGGTGGAGGTTGCAGTGAGCCAAGACAGGGCCATTGTACTACATCCTGGGCAACAGAGGGAGACTTCATCTAAAAAAGAAAGAAAGAAGGAAAGAGAAAAAAGGAAGGAAGGAGGGAGTGAGGGAGGGAGGGAGAGAGGGAGGAAGGAAGAAAGGAAGGAAAGAAATGAAAGAAAGAAAGAAAAAGAAAAAGAAAGGAAGGGAGGAAGGAAGGAAGGAAGGAAGGAAAGGACGAGAGGCTCAGAGAACCGGAGAATGTCTCAGAGGTGGAATGACAAAGCTGGGATTGGAACACAGGTCTTGCCTACACAGACAGACACACACATGTGTACAGGCACACACACATGTAAACACACACATGCACACATGCTTCAGTTGTGGAAGCCCCATTCTCCATTCCAGATGGAGAAATATCCTGGGGAAGCCCCTGGGATTTCCTGTCAAGGTCTTCAGCCAGGTATAATTGAATCCTGGTCCCCAAACCCAAGCTCTTCCCCATGACACCTTCACACTGGTCTTGGTCTTCTCTGTGTTGGGGACTTGCAGGGCTTCCCTGGCAGGTCCCAGACAGGTAAAGGTCAGCAAAGCTTTGCTGCTAACTGGCTGTGGGGCTGTGGGCAAGTTGCTTCTCTTTTCTGAGTCTCAGTTTGTTTATCTGCACCCTGGGGAGGCTAACCTCTGCTGGTCACTGTCAGAACACACTTCAGTTATTCTGTTCTCATGCTCGTTTCCCCAGACCCCATCCTGGCTTGGTCACCTACCTGATTGAGGACCTTCTGTAGGTAGGGTGTGCCCATACGGTCAGCCAAGTGGCGGTAAGATGGATGAGAGAGGAAGAACTTTCGTTCAGCAGCTAAGGCGGCCGTGATGTCCTTCTTGCCATCAATGTCCTTCTGGCTCCGGTTCACCACCCCAATGTAGCCTGTGAACAGCATCAAGGTCAGGGCAACCAGTCTTAAGGGCAGGAGAGGGACGGGGAAGGGCTGGGGAGTGGGTCAGGTGTGTGGCCTGTTTACCTCTGCGCAGGGGGAGCAGCTTGTTCTCCAGCACATCACGGGCATCTGTGCCCTCATCCATCAGGTCCAGCTTGGTGATGACCCCAATGGTGCGCTGGCCTGGGGGTACCAACGGGAGGGCCGTCTATAGTTGCACTGGCTCTCACACAGGATTCCAGGCCCTCCCACTCCGGACTCCCTGCTCTCCTCGGCCCCCTGCCCACTGACTGCCTCCTTTCTTCCCTCCTTATTCATTTTCCACAGGGTAGCCAAAAAGATTTTTATTTATTCTTTTTTTTTTTTTTAAGACAGAATCTTGCTCTGTTGCCCAGGCTGGAGTGCAGTGGCGCGATCTCGGCTCCCTGTAACCTCCGCCTCCCCTCCTGGGTTCAAGTGATTCTCCTGCCTCAGCCTCCTGAATAGCTGGGATTACAGGCATCCTCGACCATGCCTGGCTGTTGTTTTAGTAGAGACAGGGTTTCACTGTGTTAGCCAGGATGGTCTCAATCTCCTGACCTTGTGATCTGTCTGCCTCAGCCTCCCAAAGTGCTGGGATTACAGGCATGACCCACCTCACCCAGCCCTTATTCTTTTTTTTATTTGTAAGAGATGAGGTCTCACTTTGTTGCCAGGCTGGTTTCCAACTCCTGGCTTCAAGCGATCCTCCCATGTTGGCCTTCCAAAGTGCTGGGATTACAGGTGTAAGCCACTGCATCTGGCCTTTTTTTCTTTTTTTGAGACAGAGTCTCACTCTTGCCCATGCTGGACTGCAGTGGTGCAATTAACGCTCACTGCAGCCTTGACCTACTGGGCTCAAGTCAGTCTCCTGCCTCCGCTTCCCGAGTAGCTGGGACCACAAGCATGTACCATGATGCCCAGCTAATTTAAAAATGTTTTTGTAGAAATGGGGGACTCACTATGTTGCCCAGGCTTGTCTCGAACTCCTGGGCTCAAGCGATCCTCCCACGTTGGCCACCCAAAGTGCCGGGATTACAGGCATGAGCCACCTTGCCCGACCCCCAAAATGATTTTTAAAGGTACAAATCTGATCCCACCACCATTCTTAGACCCTTCAGAGGCTCCCCCTTACACTAAGAATAGACAGCCCCCAAGCCTGGGGCTTTGTGCATTGGCCACCGGGTGGGAACCTACCCTGGGGGTCCACCTCCTTGGCGACCTTGAGGGCATCAGAGTTGGCTAGGTCAGAGTTGGCCGGGGACACGGCCAGGATGAGGCAGTTCTCCTTGGTGACAAACTGCATAAGCATGTCCCGAATCTGGAACTCGATGTCGGGAGGTTGGTCCCCCACCGGGACTTTGGTCATTCCGGGCAGGTCCACCAGGGTCAGGTTCAGCACTGGTCAGGACGGTGAGAGGGCGGGCTCAAGGCGGGGGGCGTGGCCGTGGGGGGGGGTTAAGGAATAGGGAGAAGGCTTGCAGGATCCTCTTGGGAGCAGGGTGGCCGGTGGGCGGGACTAGGAAATCTCTGGGCGAAAGTTGCTGCTGTTGGAGGCGTGGCAGGAAGTGGGCGGGACCACCGCAGGGTGGAGCTTGGAATAGGATGAGGCAGAGGCAGGGTCGCTCTAGGGGCGGAGTCTGCAGGAGAAGCAAGGCACGCAAAGGGGCGTGGCCAAGAAAAGGATTCTTAGAGGTTGGGGCGGGGCCGGGGTCCTCACCGTGCGGCGAGTAGACGCGGAGGTTGATAGGCACCGGCGAGATGCCCTTGTTGGTGCCAGTGACCCTGTCGGTCTCGGCCTCGATCTCCAGGCGCACCTCCTCGAAGTCGGTGAATTTCTTTCCCTTGCAGTGCAGGAACTCGGCATATTCTGCCCCAGAAGCGGGCAGGGGAAGGGCAGTAGGCATCAAGGTCCGGAACCTCACCTGGGGGTTTTCATCTCCCGCCGGTAATAGAGCCCCCTAAACACACCCAAGCGGAACCACCCACGTCTCCATTGTGTATTTTAATTCCTACTGTCCCTAAGGGGAACGAGTCCCACAGTCCCACAGCAAGCAAGTTCTGTGGCCAGGCTGACTCTCAGCTTGGGGACAGCGGAGAGGCTGAAGTGGGCAAGCCTGGCTGTTGATGAAGGACGACACGTACCTGTGGTTGCATTAACCAGCTGCAAGACCAGGGGACGTCGGGTGACAATGCCAGATCCTCGAGGTAGGAAGTCCCTGCAATGAGTTGGAGGTTAAAGGAGGGTCAGGATATGAGAGGGCTCCCTCTGTCCAAGGGGTACCTGTCCTGCCCTGGGAGAGCCAAAGCTCCCTTCAAAGTGCTGGTGCCACCGCTCTTTAGCCCAAGGGCTTCAGATCCCTAAGGGGAAATGGCAGCCCAGAAAGGTGGAAAAGACTCTTCCTCAAGTCCCCTGGGTCACAGAATTTATGCATCTGAGCTGCCAAGAGACTGGATCAACTCCTAATACGTCCTGTGTTGGTTTTGAGCCAACAGGAAGTCCCTGCCCCAACCCAGCCACTGTCATTCAGTCCTGGAGAAACTGAGGCATGGGGTGTCCTACATGCCTATGCGTCCAGTGCCCACAGAGTGGATCCCAGGAAACAGAGCTCTAACTTCTCCCCTCCCTTCCGCTGTGGGGCAGGACAGCATCTCACTTCCCCTTCCCCAGACCCCATATGGCTAGAGTTGAAGAAGCGGGGGAAGGGGGTGGCAAGGAAATGGACTCATGGGTCAGGTGCAGTAGCTCATGCCTGTAATCCCAGGAAGCGGAAGTTGCAGTGAGCCAAGATTGCGCCATTGCACTCCAGCCTGGGCCACAAGAGCAAAACTCCATCTCAAAAAAAAAAAAAAAAAAAAAAAGATCTGGCACGGTGGCTCACACTTGTAATCCCAACACTTTGGAAGGGTGAGGCGGATGGATCACCTGAGGTCAGGAGTTTGAGACCAGCCTGGCCAACATGATGAAACTAAAATACAAAAATTAGCTGGACGTGGTGGTGGTGGACGCTTGTAATCCCAACTATTCTGGAGGCTGAGGCAGGAGAATGGACCCAGGAGGTGGAGGTTGCAGTGAGCCAGGGTTGTGCCACTGAACTCCAGCCTGGGCAATAAGTGCGAAACTCTGTCTTAAAAGAAAAAAAAAAAAAAATAAAGGACTCATGCTTTTTAGTGCCTACTGTATGTCAGGCTCTTAGTAGGGCTCCATACCATAGCCCTACTAAGGCAGGTGCTGTTATTACCCCCATTTTGCAGATGGGGGAACTGCAGCTTAGAGACATTCAGGTTGCACAGCCAGTACCTGGCAGAGCAGACCCTAGTCTCAGATCTATTTGACTTTGCAGTGAGACTCCCATGCCCTTCAGCCCCCTTTGAAGGACTGAACTGAGGGGTCTCGAAGTCATCCCCTGTCCCTAGACCTGACAATCTATAGCTCAGACATTTGTTCATGCTGATGACAAGCTCAGCTGTCCTTTTGGCTGACTCTTGTGGGTGCTGTCCAGTGAGCTCTTTTCATCTACCACCCTCTGCACTGCCCTCCAGGCTGGTGCAAGCGCGAGGGTGAAAGCCTCTCCAGGAATAAGGCTGTCAGAATCACCAGTCATGGGATCCCCAGGGCCCAGGAAAGGGGTGGAGGCAGGCTGAAGCCTGAGGGACCATTGAGATACAGCCAGTACCTTATTCATGGAGATGAAGGGAAAAAGACACAGACAGTCTCTACAGAGCCAGAGGCAGAACCCAGGTTTCTTGCCCCCAGCCCAGAACCTGACCCAGACTCATGTCTTCTTTCACCCCAGGGTCAGTAGCAAAGGGTCTTTGATACAACAGACTAGACCCAGAGCTCCTAGGCTCAAAGCCCCCTCTTGAAGCCTCTCCACTGCCTCACCTCTGGGGAAGCACAGGCTGCTGAGGAGGAGTCAGGAACTATGCTGGGGAAGGAGAAGGATGGTAAGCCTTGTGTATATTCATCATTCTTGCCAGACAGTGAGCTTTAGGAGGATAGGGCAGCCTCTTTCTGTCTGCCACTGTATCCCAGGGCCCAGGACAGGGCTTAGCACACAAGGGGCACTCGATAAATTCTGATCGAATCCCCAAGTCTTTGAATCTGTGCTCAGATATAGAGATTATCATTTTATGGAGGAAGCAGCTGAGGCTCAGAGAGGTGAAGTGACTCATGCAAGGTCACACAGCCGAGCGGGGATTCAAAGCTGAGTGTCTGTTGAACCCTCAGCCTGGGAGCTTCCCCATTCAAAGGTGCTGCCTCAAACCCAAGAAGCCAGACTTGGCTTTTTATGTAATTCAATTAAATTCAGTCTGTGCCCGGTCCTGTGCCGGGCTCTGGGGATGGGAGATGATGAGTCAGAGAGTTCCCACCCTGAGGAACTCACAGTGTGGTGGGAGAGACAGACAAGTAAACAGATACTGCAATGCAGTGTGGGGTGTGCTAGGACAGAGGTGTGCCAGGCAGCACAGAGGGAAGGGTTGGCTGGGGGTGGGTGGGAGGACTTCCGGTCTCAATCTCTCCCATCCTTTACTCAAAGACTCCTTTGGAGGCATGACTTCCAGTTTTGGGAGTCCCCCAGGGCTGTGGAGATAGAGCAGCTGTTCTCATAGAAGCTGGGGTGGGTGTGGGGGCTGGGGGTCCACCCTCTTCTCCACCAGCTCCTCACCCAGCAATACCATGGCAACAGTAATTGCCATGGAAACTGCAGGAGGGGCTAAAAAGGATGGGACTCCCCACAGAGAGCCCCCACACAGAAACATGGACTTCCCCTGGAGTTCCTTCCCGAGAGGCCTCTCCTTGAGCAGATGGGCCCACCCAACCCTGGTGGGCCTGAGGGTGGAGGTCTCCAAGGTGCCACATAGAGGGGAGCCCAGGGCCCAGCTGGCGAGAATGCTGGTGGTCAGGGTCTGGGCCAGCTGCCCACTGCCTCCCGAGTGCTGCTTAAAGGACAAGTAGCTTCTGGGAAGTAGAAACTAGAGGCAGGGCCATGGCTGGGGGTCATGCCCCTCCTAGGGCCAAGATCTCCTGGTGCCCAGATGGGGAGGTGGCCCATCTCTGCCATGGCCCAGGTTCTCAAAGTGAGGCCCTTACGAGGCCTGCATCAGAATGCCCTGGGTAGTTTGTCCAGACACATGCTCCCCAGGCATGCTGGGCTAGAATCTCAAGGGGGCTTTGCAGAGAGGCTGAATCTGGATTTTAAAAAGATCCTCAGGTGGTTTCCACACTCCCTGTCAAGTTTAAGGACCACCTGCCCTGTGCTGAGGAGCCAGGGCCAGGCTGGCTCCTACATTGAATCCTATATTGACCTTTCCCTGGCCTGGTGACTGGTGTTAGGACCCAGGAGGTCTACTTCCAAGCCTCACGCCTGGACAGACAGTGGGGAAGACCAGAAGGTCACCAGGTCTCGACAGTGAGTTCTTTGCTCACTTCCAGGTTCTTGCCTGGCACAGGCCCTGCACATAGTAGGTGCCCAGGCAACACTGGAAGGAATGCGCATGACTCAGCAGCTCCCTAGCTCTTCCCTTTCACCTGGACACACCATCCCACTTTAGCGCTCTGTTTAAGGGTCCCCTGGGTGCCCCTCCTTCCCCGCAGTGGGGATCTGGACCAGATCCAGTCTCCAGCTCCTGGTTAGGCTGAGGGAGGACAGAACAGGTGCCCAGAGAAAAGTGTCAGGCCCACCAGCCTCAGAGGCCGCGTGCTGTGCCCGGTGTGGGGGGGCGGCTGCTGGCATGCCAGCTCTCCCCACTCATTTGGAGCAGATGGTGGGTTCCAGGGGGGCGTGCCTGGCCATCTGCAGAGGCACCTTCAAACCTGAAGCGTGGGGAGACAAAATAAACACCTCTCAGGACCCTCAAATGCCACACTCCCTGTCCGAACTGGCGCTGTCACCCTGAGAGGGGTCTGGAGAAACTGAGCCCAAGGGCTGACATGACCCCTACCCCTACTCTAGGACCTGAGACTTGGGGCCAGAGCTTGGGATCCTGGTTCCCAGGCCCTGCCAAATGCAAATGATGCCAGGAAGAAATGTGCTTAACTGGGCGTGTGCCTAGTGCCGGTCATTCTTCTGTGCCTCCTCTTTCTTGAGCTCTGATGTCAGATGGACCCAACATTGAAAGTCTGAGCTGTTATGTAGGAGCTGTGTGGCAGTGGACAAATGACCATACCTCTCTGAACCTCAGTTTCCACATCAGTAAAATGGGCTGCTGTGAGGCTTATATGAGCTGATGACTGAACCACTGGCGGCTGCTATGATGATAAATAGTGATAACTTGCTGGGCATGCTGGGAGCACAGGCTGGACTCCCACAGGGCATGTTGGGAGCACAGGCTGGACTCCCACAGGGCATGTTGGGAGCACAGGCTGGACTCCCACAGCTCCGCACCAGAAGGGGCAGCTGGGAGAGAGTTGGAAGGTGAGTCTCCTGGAGCCTGGCAGCCAGAGTGGGGGTGAAGGCAGGATATTTCTAGCCAGATCTTGACCCTGGTGGTAGAAGGCAAGGGGGGTGGGCAGGAGCGCCCTCTGAAGCAGGGAACTGGGTGCCGGAAAGGGAGTGGGTAGGCCAGGAAATACTGCTGGGAGGAGCTGAGGCTGCCCCCAGGCAACAAGACCCTTTCTGTTCCCGCTGCCCCAGGAGGCTCTGGGCGAGGCCCAAGTCACAGCTCATGAATTTCAAGCTGAGGTTTGAACACTGCAGGGCAGTTCTGGCCTTGGCTTTCCTTGATGTTCTGATGGCCCCAGGAGCAGGGACTGGGCTAGACCTGTTTGTCACAATATCCCAGCAGCCAGCACAGGTCTGGCATGTGGCAGACTCTCAGGACACCTGCACTGACCAAAAGATGGAAGATGAGCTCTACCATCGGCTTCATTGTGCAGAGGTAGAAACTGAGGCACAAAAGAGGAAGAGTCTTGCTCAAGATCATGGCGCAAGTTGGTGACAAGGTAGGACCGGTACCCAGGGCTCCTGGCTCAGGGTAGGCACGCTCTCCACAGCAATCTTTCTCCCTATTAAGCAGAACCTGTTACCTTCCCTTATTCCTTATCCTCCCATCCTTCCTGCTTTCTTTCCCTCCCTCCCTCCTTCCCTCTCCCTCCCTTCCTTCCTCCTTTCCTTCCTTCCTCCCATCCATCCAAGTGTTGATGACTTTGTATTTTCAAAATGGAAATAGATCTCTTTTGCCTCTAATTTTTAAAATAATATCCAGTTAAAAAGAT